CTGCATTGCGTGCTCGCATTGCAAACATTCTACCAAGCATTGTATCTGATTTAGCAATCAGACGAGCAGGATTGACAATAAAACGGCTATTCTCCACAACAAGAACAACATAATCACCTTAACAAACTTTTTTGAGAAACAAAATATTAAAAATACCACTCTCGCCACGACTCAATTCAATTGTCTGTGCAGGTTGTTGAGAATGAGGCTTGGAAAGCAATGATTCATGCGCAGGGCCGCCTAAACTCATACTCCGTTGATTTCGATGGCAATTATCCTAAAAATGGACGTTATAAAAATTTAAATTTTTAAAATAAAGGAGGGGGAGAATACTAAAAAAGATAGAATAAAGATGATCTGAAAATTAATTTTTAGAGCACTTAAAATAATAAATTTATTACTTTTACGACAATTAATTAATGTCCTTTCCTTTTTATTAAAATTCCACGTGTTTAATAATAAGAGAAACGTCTAAATAAATTAATAAAATAAAACATGCCTTTATACTGCTGATATTATTACTAGCCGATGAAGAGGAAGAATGCTTCATAATTATTTTCGCTTCTCCTTATATGTTGGCTTTTCCCTTGATTAATTCGTGTAGGACGTGAGAAACACTAAAAAGAAGGAAAAGATTGGATTATTAACACCATACAATTAATAAACAAACAAATTAAAGAGGATTAAAAGTACATTAAACCCATGGCAACCAAATAAAAGTAAAAGGCTTTATTGACATACAAAAGGAATAAAATCGCTAATTAGCCAAATTAAAAATTGAAAAATAAAACGAAATTTTATTTGAAAGGCCCCGGAAGAAAAAGAGAAAAAAGATGAGTGAAACTATGCAGGAAAATAAAAAAAACAGTCAATTTTAAAGCTTAACTAATACGAAGACTTTTAACAAAAAAAAACACGCAAACCCCATGATGCGATTTCCGTTCCTAGTTGATCAATTGGCCGATGACCAAATTTTAATTGGCATTTCTAGGTTTTCATTTTGACAGTTTTCTTAAAATTTATATGAAATATCGAAAGACAAAAGGTCATTATTCAAAAAGGTCTGACAATAGCTTTGAATTTGATTGTGAGCTTTTTTTTGTTTTCGAGCTTTTTTTTATTGTTTCAGATTTTTTGTCGTTTTTTTCAATTAATTTTAAAATCAGAATATAATTTACTCATTCTTATTGATCATCTATGACAGCATTTGAAGAGCTAGGTGTTCTTCCTGAAATTGGAAAAGCTCTTGATGAATTGGATTGGACGTAATTATTTATATAAATTCATAAACTAAAAATAAACATTCTTTTTTTTTAGTCTTCCTACAGACATTCAATCTGAAGCAATTCCTGCAATTCTTGGCGGTGGTGATGCTTGTATGGTTTGTTTATTTTAATTTTTTTTTATTTTTAAATTGGTATGTCAATTATATTTTCGATTTTAGGCTGCTGAAACTGGAAGTGGCAAAACTGGTGCATTTTGTGTTCCGGTTTGGTTTATTTATTTGTTTAAGACATTTATATTTTAGATTTTACAAATTGTCTATGAGTCAATGCAACCTAAAATTTCTAAAGCTACACACGACATACAAGGATCGCAAGGTTATTTACAACTTCTTCAATTCTTATCACTTTTTCAAGCTCAAATCTTTTGATTTACCATTTTATTAAATTTAGACACTTGGAGGATGAGCATTTACGACAGAGACCACAACCTTGGTGTTGATCAAACTGGTCTAATTTGTGAAAGCAATCATCCTAAATTATGGAGTGGTGTAAGAGCGATGAGAGGCGTTAAATGCTCTGGTATTTTTTATTTATTGAGAATTTATTGTTAGTTAGTTTATAATTTCAGGTAAATATTACTACGAAGCTATTATTGAAAGTGATGGGCTTTGCCGTATGGGTTGGGCAACGTTTCGTGCGAATTTAAATTTGGGTGATTTTTATATCGATACTTTTTAAAGGACATAAGTTCAGGAACTGATGACCAAGGTTTTGGGTTTGGTGGAACTGGAAAGAAGAGCAATGCTGGTAAATTTGATGATTATGGTGAAAGTTTTACTTTGAATGATGTAATTGGCTGTTATCTTGATTTGGAAGTTGGACGTATTCATTGGGCTAAAAATGGCAAAGAATTTCCTTCTGCCTATTCATTAAGAGGCGAATTTGTGAAAGCAGGTCTATTTCCTGCGGTTGTCATTAAGGTTTAAATATTTTTTTGTTTTACCAATTCAATTCTTAATACATTTTTAGAATGCTCGCCTTCGTCTTAATTTTGGCCAGACTTCTTTCCGCTTTCCACCAAAGGGAGTGAGTATTTATTGATTCATTGTATTTATTTTTTAATAAACCTGAATATTTTATTTAAGGATTTTATTGCCCTTTGCCGAGCCGTGCCTGCATTTCAAGTAGAATCACTATCAGGAAGTAAACACCATGACACTTCAGAAGAAGTAGAAAAAAGAAAACCAAATCAACCACTTTGCCTTGTTGTTGAACCTACAAAAGAATTAGCGCAACAAACATATACGCAAATAAATAAATTTATGAAATATCTAGACAATCCAAAAATAAAGTTATTTTTAACTTTCAATAATTTTTTAATCTTTTTTAGAAATGTTCCTGTTTTAAGTGGAATAAATATGGGAGAACAAATGGCTTTAATCAATGCTGGTTGTGATATATTGACGTGTACACCTGGCAGAATACGTTCTTTGGTTCAGGAGGGACGTGTGGACCTTTCTCATGTAATTAATGTTTTTTATTTTTAAATAATCTATTTTTACAATTAGATTCGATTTTTTGTCCTTGATGAGGCTGATTCTCTTCTCGGCGGTCAGGGTGATTCGTCACAAATAATCTTTGAATTACACAGCCAAATTCCAAAATACGGACCTTCAGGGCAACGTCTTCAAATGATTGTATGTTCAGCAACATTACACAACATGGCCGTTCAAAAATTAGCTGTATTATTTTAAATTTTTATTTGTTTAAAAAATTTATTTTAGGCTCAATATATGTATTTCCCCCAATGGATTGATTTAAAAGGACAAGACAGTGTTCCAGAAACTGTTCATCAGGTTTTGAATTTTACAACGTTTTTGAAAATTTTGACAGAATTTTTCACTAATTTTTCCAAAAGTAATAGTATTTATTTTTAGGTTGTTTGTATGATCGATCCCAAAGAAGATAAAAGTTGGATTCGACTGCGTTCTCAGCCAAATAAATCAATCCAAACGGATGGGATCCACATAAATGACCAAATTCGTCCTGGTACGGATGCTCCTGAAACCCTATCTGAAGGAGTAAAAGTCTTGAAAGCAGAATATGTTCTGCGTGCTATAAATGCTCACAAAATGGATCAATGCATTATCTTCTGTCGTACAAAACTTGACTGTGATAATATGGAAAAATTTCTGGCACCAAGAGGTTTTTTGTTACCTACCTAATTTTTTGGCTTCCATTTTTTTTTATATTTCCAATTTTCGCTTTGAATTAAAATCTTAATTTAAGGTTATCCTTGTGTTTGTCTGCATGGTGATAGATCCCCAGATGAAAGGACTCGGAATTTGAAATTATTTAAGGTTCGATTGCAAAATAAAATTTTAAAAATTATATTTATAGGAAAAGAAAGCCAAATTTTTGATTTGCACAGATGTTGCTGCTCGTGGATTGGATGTGACTGGAATACCTTTTGGTTAGAATTGAACTTATATTGTTTATTTATTTTTAAAAACGTAATAAATAAAAGTAATAAGAAAGTAAAAATAATAAATGTGTCTAATTGTAAATTATTTTTAGTTATTAATGTTACATTACCGCCAGCTGAAGAAAAGGCAAATTATGTACATAGAATTGGGCGTGTTGGTCGAGCTGAGAGGTTTGATAAAATTATTTTTAAAAATTTGGGATGATGAACTGATATGCGGGATTTTCTTTCACTTAAGTCGACGCGATTAATGGACTCATTTTGGTTTCGGATTTTCTTACGAAATTTTTTCATAGTCTTGACTTTTGCACTTTACCACTAGGAAAGGAGTTAAAAGCTATTAAACGTCTGCTAAAAACACAAGATAAATATCTGAATGAGTTAGGAATTAGAGAAATGGGTTGATAATCATTGATTCAACAATCATTTAAAAACTTATTATTTTTACAAAAATTCAGAATGGGGTTGGCTATTTCACTCGTTTCTTCATTTCCTGAAAAAGTTTGGTATCATCAATGTAAGAGCAGAGGAGCTAATTGCTCTAATACTCGACTTGTAATACAAGGAGGCTGTGCAAAATGGTTTGACGAGATTAACGTTAGTTTAATTATTTTAAATAAAAATTTTAAAAAATAAATTTTTTAGTATTTGGGCGAAATCGAAGAACATTTGGGTGTTACAATTAATCGAGTCGGTCCAGATATGGCTGTTCCAATTGATGAATATGATGGAAAAGTTGTATATGGTGCTAAGAGGACAAATGAAGGTTAATTTAAGTTGATTAAAGAAATATTTTTATTTTTGAGGTGGGCCACAATTTGGTCACGCAGTGGAGCTAAAAGGTATTTTGGGCGAGTTGGGAAGTTTGGAACGAGAAGTCCAATGGTCTTATTTGAAGTTGTTAAAATCATCACAATTTGTAAAATAAATATTTTAATTATTTTGTTATCTTTGTAATTTATATTTTAAATAGGTAAATTTTATTTATAAAAAAATTCCTCAAATTAGAAAACAATAATATATAAAAATTTATTTTAAGTATTAAAAATGAAATACTATGTATATATTTATATAAATATAGAATATTTGTAAAATATATGTACATGGTTGAAAAAAGGGAAAAAATCAGACTTGGTAATGGACATGGATTTTGGTATCCGTGTCCGGATATTTACGGCGGATACCCGCAGGTATTCTGAAATTATCCGTATCTATTACCAAGTCTGGGAAAAATATCTCGTAATAGATTCTTTTTAGATGATTTACATATAATTTAGGTATTTTATACATTAATAAACACTGGGTAATTCTACACTTTTTATTTTTATTGTATTTATTCTCTTTTTATTATTTGTTGCATCAATTGGTGAAATTATACCTAAAAAAAATTATTTTTTTTAAAATTATTAATTGATCAGAAAAATACCCACCCCTTTTATTATTCCAACGTCCACGTTTTTCTCCCCCAGATTCATTTTCTTTTCGTTTTCTTCGTTGTTCAATAGCTGCGGCAATTCTTTTATTTTTACCATTAAAGGTGTCTAATGTCCACGAGGCTGGCTTTGCTGAGGCAAAAATACAAAAGAAAGCATTTGATAAATTTAAAATAATTCCGTGAATAAATAAAACTTTTGCCCAATCATCTTTTTTTTTAAATTCAAAATAAATTAATTTTAAATAAAAATTAAAATTTACGAGGTTCATTTTCGGGTGCAATAACTTCATTAAGTAAAGGAACAATTAACATACAAACACAATTTAAAAATGAAATATTTGCCTTAAAAATAAAATATTAAATTAAAAATATTTAAAGAACCAAAGTAAAATGTGAATGTTGTCTAGAAACAATTTGTGAAGATTTAAAGAAACCACCAGAATTAAAACCAAGAATACAAGTAGAGGCAATTAAAACAATCTTTAATTTTAATTATTTATGGGTCTTTAATTTTATGATATTTTTTGATAGGACAGGAATTTTTAATTTAGATTTTTTCTACTAGAGAGATCGGTATTTTTGAAAGACATGGGCCTGTTTCTGGGTTCTGGATTTATTGTACTGGGCCGGATCCTTGGCCTGTAGTCCAGGAAAAACCCAGGCCGATCTCTAGTATTTACTTGGTTAATTATTCTTGATATTTTTTAAACTTTTCACTGAAGGGATAATTAATCGAGGAAAGGCAATTAATCTTGTAAATACGGTAATACATAAAAGGAAGGGGTATTTATCTAAGCTTCTCTATTTTCATTTTTAATTAAAAAAATCACCAAACAAATAGAAGGATTTTCTCTTGGATCCAAAACAGCCAAAATACAAAAAAGAACCCCCATTGCAGACAAAGATAATGTATTATAAAGTCTTAATTTAGCTGCATCACTTATAAATCTTTAAAAAATAAATTATTTAAATTATTAAAATAAATAAAAACTTTATTTTGTCAGAACTTTGACCAGCAACAAGTTTAATAAAAAACATAATTGCTGGAGAAACAGCTGAAGCCATCCCTGTTTGGCTTATTGGTAATTCCAAAACCTTAAAAAATATTTTTTAATTGATCTTGAATCAAAATAATAATAAAAAATTAAAAAATGATAACTATAAAATTAATTTGGGAGTAATTAATCGAGGGAAAACAACCAATTATTCAAGAATTGTAGAAAGAGTTTAGCAAAAGTTTAGCCATCTGGCAGGATTCGAACCTGACCTTCTGACAGTCATTGCTAGGCGCTTTCACTCAACACATACAGGAGCTCCACTGAGCTACCGGGGCATCGACTAATGCTTTTCTTTTTCCTTTTTAGATAGTTTAACTCCCGCCTAAGTGTTTTAAATTAGAGTAAGTCGAGTTCGAGCGAGTTCGAGTTACTCGACTCGACCGCTCGGGTTTTTTGAGTAATTACTCGACTCGGAACTCGGGATCATAATACTTGGATTACTCGAGCTCGGAAACTTTCTACTCGACGTACTCGGTTAAAACCGAGTATTTTTATGCCCCCATCTGCGGCGCAAAAAGGAAGATTTTTAGCTTAAGGATCTTCCAAAATTCTCAAAATTTTCGCCTGCGGCGCTGAAAAGCCAAGAAATTTAGCGTGTTGGTCTTCCAAATTTCTCAAAATTTTTGCCTGCGGCGCTAGAAAAAAAGAAATTTTGCTCTTTGGCCTTCCAAAATTCTCGAAATTTTCGGCTGCGGCGCTGAAAAAGGAAGATTTGTGTATATCGGAAGATTCAATCAAGTTAAGTGGGTTTTAGTAATATCCGGATATTTCAAGGGATCTGGCCTTCTGAAAATTGGTGTCACTACTTAACCTTGAGAAATTCTCAAAATTTAAGCCAATGGCGCGAAAAGAGAGGGATAGAGCAACGGATCTCATGATCACTTTTCGACAATATACCTAATCCGATATCCCAATTAATCTCCCGAATTTCCAAGATTTTGCTCCTAATAACCCAAATCTCACGATAATCGGTTCAAATCCCGCTTAATCCCTTGATCTCCATCTCATTCCTCTTATCACTCGATATCCCCTTAATCTACACAAATCCCCGAAATAATATTATCCATTGTTGTATAACATGGATCGTGTGCATATCATGGAATTTCTGCGGATTAAAAGGGATATAGACGGATTAACGAAAATAACTGGGATTTGGATGAAGATCTAACGCATTACTGCCAACAAATGCCCAAAACACGGCACTGATTATGAATAGTTTTTAGTAGAGTTGGACAAGCCGAGACCGAGACCGATACCGAGATTCTCGGCTTTTTCCAATATCGGTCTCGGTATTTTAAAATACTGTTTTATAAAAATTACTCGATTACTCGACTACTCGAACTCGAACTCGAACTCGGCCTAAAAAGTTGAGCTCGAGCTCGAACTCGGGTTTTTCAAACTAGGATTACTCGATCTCGGTTTTTTCCCAATTACTCGGTACTCGACTTACTCTATTTTAAATGCTCCAGGTGAATTATCCTTACACTGTTAATGGAGAGAGAAAGTTAGAATTCAAAAGGTATTTAATTTTTAAATTAAATGATTTGCCTTATTAATATATGTAGGCATAAATTGAAGAGATAATTGTGTTCCCATAAAATTACCAAATGAAGCAACCTAAAAAACAAACAGAGATCATTCAAAAAATTCAGAAAATTTACTAAAATAGCCCAAATAGCCATATCGCTATACATTGCTTTATAAGGAACTTTTGGAGATTTTTTGTGTTGTTTTCCAGGTCCAGAGTAAATAGAGCCTCCTTTATTAAACATAACTTTAACTAATTCTGTTCTGCTAACCATTGGATGGTCATGTGGGTAATTTCTGTGATACTTTAAAAGAAAAAAATTTTTTAAAGAAATATTTTTCTTTAAAATTAACCAGCATAAATAAAGTAAAAAGTATTATAGAAACAAGTCCATGTAAATAATATACAGCTGGCCACCCAACAGAAGATGTACATAATTCACCAGCTAAAGGCATGGTAAATAATGGAGCTATCTTTAAATTAAAATTATAAATAATTTATATACTATTAAATACTCTTAAACAAAGAACGGTCGCTTTAAGCCACCGGTTTTCGGTTTATTGGCCTAAAACACCGGGTTTCGGTCAATAAATTTTTTTGGCCCGAACTACTTTATACCCGATATTAATATATAGGGCCAAATTTTATTTATTTTTTTCGAGAGGTATAGAGAGTATTATGTATATATCCAAGTGTTTGTAGTATATCGAAAATTATTTGGATTATATTATAATTAATTCTACACCTACTACATACATAATGTATTAAAAATCAGATTTACAATATAATTTAAAAACTCACAAACAAATTATTTCAATTTTATTTATTTCTTAAATTTACCTGTAAAAAACTAGATAATATAGCAATAAATATTCCATTCTGTTTTAAAGTAGACCAATGTGAGGTGATTGAACCCATCACCGGGAGACAGGCGGAAAATGCAGCGCCTTTTAAATAAATTTATTTTTAGATATAATTAAATTTAAATTTACCCTGAACTATTCTCATAGCAAGAATATAAGGAAAGCCGTTAACTGCCGCTATAGGTATCTAAATAAATAGGTGAGAGGGTAATTTATTTAATAATTACCAAAAGAGTAGATAAAGCACTCATATATCCAAGACATCCAAAAACAATTCTTCAAAAAAGCAAAATTAAATTAATTTTAATTTAGTATTCACCTAGACCCAAATTTTCCAAGTAAAATAGTTAAAGGAAATACAGCAAGTAAAGCCCCCACAGCTACAGCCATAAATAAAGCTGTTCTTTCTGCACTAGAATAATCCAAATCTTCGTCATAATTTGTGGAAGAAACTTTTTTTAAAATTAAAATTATTTTTAGTTAGCAGTTTAAATTACTATTTATTTGGCTAAAATTATCTGGACGAACACCAGCCATACAAATATAACTTTAAATTTATTTTTTTAATAGATAAAAAAATAAATTATACGTGAAATTAAATGTTAAAATATTTGATAAAATTGAAGACAAACAAAGTGTTGATATAACCATTATTGTAAAACGAATCTTTAATTTTAATAAAAAACTTTAAATAAATTTAAATATTTTATAAAAAATTATTTTCTCTGAACCTGAGAGTTTTTTAATTTTAAATTTAATAATTCAGATATGAGACTTGATATCATTACTTTTAATTTTTACTTAAAAAATAATTTGAATTTTGTTAAAGGTAAAGGATTAACCCCAATTATAATTACTAACTTTTTCCCAATTTAACTGGGGATTTTTTAAAGGGAGGGGGTTCCCTTATTCAATAAAAAATTAGGGAAATTAATTAAGAAAAAACTATTTCCCAAATTTACCTGATGTCCAAAAATACAATTATCAGCCCCTTCATCCTCCCATTCATCATCATCACCAATTATAGAACCACCATAAGAAGTATCTCCTCCTCCACCACCTCCTCCACCTCCTCCATTAGTTTCAGATCTATTTCTATTACTCAAAGTATGTACTAAACGATTAGACCACTTTTGTAAAAAATAAATTTTAATTTTAAAAATTAATTAATTAATTTACAGTATTTTGTTGTTTATTCCCTCCCCCTCCTTCTCTACTACTTGATTGACTACTTCCACTACTTTTATTACTTCTAATACTTTCTCCTTTTTCTAATAAATTTACATCTAAAAATTGTTTTTGATTATTTTGTTGTTGTTTTGATTCAATTTTCTTTTCTTTTAGATCTTTTGGAATTCGAATACAATTACTAAAAAATTAAATTATAATTTTTAAAATATTTTATTAAAATATAATTAAAGGTCACACATGGGGGGGAGGTGTGCAGACCTAGAGAGCTTTGACTTTAATTAAATTATTTATATAAAATTTTGGAGCCAATTAAAGAACAATTTAAGCAATTAGAGGGTCGGGTCTGGCTGGCGTTCGAATCAGTTTTTCAGCCTTAATTTTGTTGAGTTATATTTCTGTTCGTGCCAAGTTTTTATCGCGTCCACCTATGATAATTTTCTTTTTTTCATTTATACATTACAATAATGTAATTACTATTTATATACCCCCAAAATATTTCCAAATATTTAGTAAATCTAAAAAAATTACCCAGTAACAGGATCCATCCCTTCCAAACATCCATTTCCTACCCTTACTTCTTCATTTTGTTCATTAATCATCGGTGGACAATAAATTTCTTTTTTAATATTTTTTAAACTTTCATCTTGTATTATAACAGAAATACAGTTTTGAGTATTTTCTTCGTTAATCATTTATTAATTATTAATTATCGTTCTATAATTTAAATGTATACTTAATCTAACCTCAATTTCACGTTCCAACATTCAACTATATATCCTCATATTTAAAAAATCGAGATCAGACAGTAAAAATAAAAATTAAAATAACAGTAATTTAAAAATTAAAACACAAACCCTCACACTTTTAAATTACTAAAAAAGGAAGAAAAGAAAAACTCTCCCCGCCCATAAAATTAATTACGGTTTATCGCCTTATGATACACTTCTTTTTCTTAATTTTTGTTTTTAATTAAAAGTATTTTAAAAATTAAATTTATTAAAACTTGTTTTGGAGATTTTGTATTAAACGAGAAAGTGTTATAAGATAAGAGAGAGGAGGCCTAAATTAAAGTTACAATAATTTAAAGTTTAATTAAGGGCACTCTAAAAGTTTATAAAAATATTTAAAATTATTTTTAGAAATTTCTAGAACAATTACTATATTTTATTAAAAAGTTGTGAAGGATATCGAGTATAGTAGTGGACCTCTTAATTAGTGAATTTTCAAAATTTGAATTCAAGAGCCGACAATAAGAATTCAGTCATTCCTTTAAAATGCCTTGATAAAGGAAGTAAATAAAAATAAAATTTTTAAGTAAAATGGATTAACTTGTTATTTATGAACAAAAAATAAATAATTTTTATTTATTTGAAATAAAAATTGGGGAGAGAGAACATTTCTTTCTCGTCCATAAAATAGGATTTAAAAAAGTCTCTCTCAATTCTTGACCCTAACAAGAAAAAACTAAAATGTACTATTTTATTTTTTAATTTTTTTAAATAATAAAATTGGCCAAAAATGAAAGTTGAAAGAAGAAGAATAGGTATATATAAGTAAAAACTGTCACATCCCTAAAAAGTATTAAATATATTTTATTGTTTAAGGGGAGGGAGAGAAAATTTTTCGTGGATCCATTGACGCAAATATATTTATTTATTTATTAAATATTAAAATCCTTTTTTTAAATAAAAAAAATGTGACTCGGTTTTGTATTTTTTGATTTAAACAAAATTTTGTTTTTGGGCGTTGATTGAGTTTTTGTGGGGGGGGGGGGGGGGGTTGTGGTGAGTTGTTGATAATCAAAAAAACTAAAATTGTGAAATTCTAGTCTCTCTTTAGTCTTTGAAAGAGACTAGAATTGAGAGACAAAGAGTTGTGAAATTTTGCATAAATATTCTCGATAATTTTTTCTACAAATTTAAGTTTAATATTTATTAAATTTTATAATTGAAGAGGTATAAATAAGCAATTCCCAAAAATTTGCTTTTTCGCTTATAATTTTTAACCCAAAAATTTTTTTTGAGAAACCATAAAATTAATCTCTTCTAAAAACAAACAAAATTCCAAAAACTCTAAATTATCAACCAAAAAAATTACTACATAAATTTCCGCGCCCAAATATACCCTACCTAGACTGATTAACTCTGGCCATAAAATAAAGTTTTAACAAAAAACGGATTAATTTTTGTTTACTTCAAAAAATATTAAAAATTATAATAAAAAAATTTTTGTTGAACTTCCTTAAAAATATAGAAAAAAATTATTTTTCTAATAAAAAAACCTCGTGGGTATTTTAATAAAAATAAATAAGGTCAGGCAGGTTTATTTAACCAAAAAATGTGATATATTTTATGCAAAAAAAGTTTTTATCTATTTTCATTTTAAATTCATCTATAAACGATTAAAGTTTGCTAAACAAAAAATTTTTTTTGATAAAAAATTTATTTAAATAAATATGTATTACTAATTAGTTAAGTAAATGAGAAAGTATTGCGAAGAACAAAAAAAAAAGAAAAAATATTTTGAAACAAAAAATAATTTAAAAAAATATTTTTTTGAATACAAATTCTTAAATTTAATATTTTTCTACAAATTTTGTAAATTTTTTATAGATGCTACGTTTACATAAAAAACGCTAGCGTTTTTTCCACAGCAAAAACGAATTTTTATGTAAACGTAGCATGACGCGAATTTTGTATTTTTGGAAATAAAACTTTAATAAATTATGTAGAATTATTTAATAATTTAAATGGAAATTATTTTTGATAAAATTCGAAATAAAGAAAAAAGATTTTAAAAATATTATTTTTTAAAATAATTTAATATTCTAAGAATTTTAAATTAAATTTTACAAAGATTGGCAAAACTTAAAATATTCAAAAATTAAAAGTAAATTTTGAATCATTCTCAATTAATTTCTTCTCTCTCCTTGTCTCCTTCTAGTCTCTAAATTGTTTTTATTTTTTAAATAATTTTTTAAAAATTTAATTTTAATCCTCAATTATTTCCCTAAATTAAAAAATAAATATTAAATTTACTAATTTAATTAACGTAATATCCGTTTCCTATTTTTTATTCGCTAATTTTGAGGTCATTTAGGCAACATTTTTAGTTTGTTTTTATTTTTCCTTCTCTTTTATTTTTATTTTAATTTATTTTTAATGATTCATTTAATTAAAATTTTTATTAAATTTAATTATTTTAATAAATATTTTTAAGAATTTTTTATTAAAGTATTTAGTAAGTACTTCCTTATATTTTAAATAAATATTTCCTTTTTTAGTTCTTAATTATCCCTCGTTAATTTATAAAAACATTTACCTACCTAAATTCTTTCCCACAAACATAAATTAACAAAAAAATAACACGGGACGTAATACTAAATTTAAACATAAATTTTGTTTAAATCTTTAAGGCGTAAAAGTTCAAAGTTGAAAATAAAATAATAAAAGACTGTTCCGTTCTACTAAATATTAAAGACAAAAAATATAATAAATAAAAACTTTTTCGGTTTCAAGAAAATTCTCGATTTTTAAGTAAACAAATACGAGGCTGTTCGACTCCATAGGCGATTCACATTTATTCGGCCTCCCGTTAGCCGATAAATTTTTAGGGCTGGTAGCTATTTGTTATAATATTTTTTAAATTCATTCATCGCTTCTCCTTTATTTAAATTTTAGAATTTACAAATTATTTTTGAAAGAAGTATACATTTAGGCATTAATTATTAATTTATAGTATAATAATTAATTTTAATTTCTGCCAATTCTTCAATTCAAAAAACTTTCTCTTTAAACATTTTTTCTTGTGATTTTTGAAATAAAAATGTGTATTTGCAAGATTTTTTTAAATTATGTTTTTATTTAAAAATATTTAACAAAAAGTTTGTGTCATGTGATAATAAAAACAAACAAATAAAATATAAAAAAAGATTTTTCTCGAAAATTTTATTAAGAAATGTAGTAAATTTAAATATATCTTTGCATAAAAACACACAAAATTGTTTTTAAAAAGTTAAAGGTAAGATGGGGAATTGATTAAACAAAAAAATTGAAATTAAAGTTTTACACAAATATCAAGGTCGTGTCAAAAAAACTTTAATTTTTGTTAATCAAAGTAATTCAATCCCTCACTTCCCTATTCACCTGCCATTTCATTTCAGATTATTTTCTGATATATTCAAACTTTCGAGCCCCCAAAAGGTAAGAACTGAGGATGTTGAAAAAGGAAGGAAGTACGAAAATGAAAATGAAAGAAGCAACATCTCTGGTAATAATCAGAATTTATGTAGAAATGTTTAATTGTAATGAACCAAAATTATAGAAAGGATTAAAGTAGAGATCGGTATTTTCGAAAATTCCGGATCTGGATTTAGGTTATTGACCTGGACTGGACTCTGGATCCAGGAAAAAACAAAACTGGATCCAGATCCAGACCGATCTCTAGATTATAGGTATACTAAACATTGTATTTAAATATTAAAAAAAGGAAGAGAAAGAATTTAATCAGAATATTTTTTTAAATTTTTCTTTAAATCATTCATTCCATTTTTTCATTCAAATTTTTAAAATTATTTTTATTTTCCTTTATTTTTTCATTAAATAAAGGTTGTTGTTGTTCATCCATTAATTTTAATTTTTGTATTTTTTGTTTTTCAGTTAAAGAAGTATTATTTGTTGTTGTTGTTGTATTTTCTTTTGTTGTTTCCTTTTTTCCTTCTCCATTACAAACATATTCAACTAATTGAGGTATTTGGTGTTTTTCGTGGTAATTTTGAATGTGCTCTTTACCTACAAATTTTTAATTTTTCAACCAAATTTCTTTTCTCTTCTTTCCCTTACTTCCAATAAAAGTCCCACAAATAAATAAATATGGAAGACCACGATGAGCAGTTAATTGTTCTAAATTACGTTCAACAAGCCTAGGTTTACCATTCCCAATTCTATCAACATAAAAAGTAACTAAAGGAAGGCCATAAACCTTTTTTGAAAAAAACAAAATTTAATTAAAATTAAAAATAATTTTTGTTTAACTTCACGTAACAAAGTTTCTAATTTACGAGATCCAGAGGAACTTGAATCGGCATATAAAACGGCAGGAAGTCGTAAAATCTTTTAAATTTATTTTTTATAAATTAAGAAGAATATTGATATGATAAATGGTTGGAATTAAATTAAATTTGTTAAAAATTCTTTAAAAGAGAGTTGACACTCGACATAATAAATAGGGTTGTTGGTTCCTGGAAATTCTTCGAATATCCGAAACCAAACCGAAAAATCCTTGGTTCTTCGGTTTGGCCCAGAACCGACAAACTTGTGAAAGTTTGTTAAATTGAGTGGTTAATTACATCGAGAATTGACTGTAAGGAAGATGGATTTTGAATTATTTTAATACAAATATTAGGGGATTTGAAGTATAATTTTTTAAATTATATCCATTTATTTTTTAAAGTTTTTGTATATTTTTTTCAATAAAAATTTCCATGTTAATTTACTTGTTGTGTAAGTGCTTGAATTGATGTAACACTTTTTTGAATTGGTTGTTGGTGTTGTTGTTCTTCTTTTAAATTAGAAGGTAATAATTGTTCTTCCTTCTCTTTATTTTGTAAAGTGCCAAAAGGGAAGGGAATATCTGAACCTCTAAGAGAATAATGATTATTTGAAGAGGAAGAAGAAAAAGAGGAGGAAAGGGAGGAGGAAGAGGTATTTGTTGTTGGTTGAGTTAATAAATTATTTAAATTAAAAGAAGTTGGGGGTTTTATAAATGATTTTGAAGAAATTAAATTGTTGTTGTTAGATGTTTGTGGGGGCGGATATGAAGAAGAGAATGAAGTAGTTGGTGATTGTTGACAAGGATCTGTTTAAAAAATTAATATTAAATTTAAAAAATATTTAAAGGTATTATCCTGAAAAAAAGAAATTAATTATCTAATATTTTATTTAAAAATTAAATTTTTCTGTCCAAACAATTAAATTATTTTAATATAAAATAATTCTCTCCTTTCTGATGACTATTCTCAATTTATTTCAAAAGTATCAGTTTTCTTCTTCCTTCCTTTATTAAATTTAAATACCTTTAATACTATCAATTCCTTGCAAAGAAGTCTCCAAACCTACAAAAGGAGCAACACCTGAAGATGAGGATCCACATAAATTTTTCCTTCCCTCAGATTGCCAAATATTTGGAATTAATTGGTTATTATTGTTTTTGTTAACGATATTCTAAATAAAAATACTTTTTAGATTATTTAACAGTATGGATTTGTAGTCAGTTTCCCCCGAGAATGTTTTGTCAACAACCCCCCCCCCCCGTCAAGAAAATTTAAAAAATTCAAATCATCCAAAAAATTAATTACCAAATAATCAATGTATGGCTGCTCATCCAATTTAAAATAATTATTTTTATTATTTTCAATTAATGTCTTTCTCATTTGTTGTTCTCCCTTTCCTCCTTTCCCTTCCAACCCTTCAAGCACTGCCCGTGCTGCTGCTTCTCCAATTAAATTGCCTGTTGAAACTGAAAATTTTTGTTGTTGATTTTCATTCCAATCATCACTTTGTTCTTCTTCTTCTTCATCTCTTCCCTCAATATCAAATTCTGAAGGAATTCCATTTCCATAAATAAAATTATTATTATCACCAAATTGGTTTCCAATAGAGGAATAACTAAAAATAAATTTAAAAGGAAATTTAATTCTTCCGGAATTTTCCAACCCTCCTCCTACAAAATATCCCTGAGATTGAGGAAATTGATAAGAATTTGTATTTGATTGAATTAATGATCCATAATTATTTAAAATATTTTCATTATTTAAATTATTTATTCCATATATTTCTTCTAAATTAAAATTATTTTTGGGAATATTGGACATTTGAACAGGAAATGGTGCTGGAACACTTCTTTGTAAACTAACATCTTTTTAAAAATAGAAAAAGAATTATTTTTTATTTAAATTATTTTTATTTTTAAAATAAAATTATTTCAAAAAAATTTTAATAAAGTCGAATCAAATTTTTAGAAACTTTCGAAACTAGAAATTTTGCCCTTAACAAGTGGGTGCCTTAAAATCGAAGATACAGCTTAGGTAGTCCTCATTAGAGATCGGACCAAACAAATATTTAATATCGGAAAATTAAATAATTTGCTCAAATATTTGATTTTGCCGTTTGTCCAATCTCTAGTCCTCACCCCACTCTTCTACCTATTCCTCGATAAAAAAAGCATTGAGAAATTTAAAAACTCCTCTCCAAACTTTGGGGCACCTAAAAGTTGAGGAGGTTTGACTGTATTCTTAATTATTAAAATCACACCTTTTATTTCTCCAATCCAATTTCCTGTACATCCATTTATACCTCCCCCATTATTCCCAATATCATTACTTCTATCACTAATTTCTTGTCTTTCTATATTATTAAATTCTTCCTTTTTTGTTGAAGGATTAGTAAATTCTTTTAAAAAAATATTTAAATATTTTAATTAATTATACCTTTATTAATTTTATAAGGGGGAATTAATGTTGGAAATTCATTATTTTCTTTATTATTTTCATTAAATGTCAATTGTTGATGAGATGAGGGACGAAGTAAAAATGATTTTGAATTAATTAAAAAATTTTCTTTAAATTATTTTTTTAAAAGAGAATTTAAAAGGGGAAAATACCCAAATTTTGATTATTATTTTCAACTCCAAAATCACACATTCCATATGGAGGGCAAGGAAATTGTTGTTGAAATTGTTGTTGTTCAGATTCCAAATTGTAAAAATTATTTGGGGAAACTTCATAAAAATCATCGGATGTTTGGGCTAATTAATTAAATAAATTTTTGAATTATTAATTATTAAATTCATTCTAGAAAACACATTGTGCCCCCTTTTTACCCCCTTGTTGACCGTCTCTGAAAAAGTAAGCCTGGAGAGAATAAAAAAATTCAGTAGAATAACGAATAAAATCCCGAAAATCCGGAGAAATCTCTAGTTTAATTTCTTCAAGGCATACATATCTCTTTATTTCTGATCCCGATCGGCGATTTATAATTCAACGGTATAAATCTTTTATGTAAAATTTTAATTATCTTTAAGTGTTAAAAATAATGCCCCCTTTTTGGCCGACTTATTATTAATTAATTAATTTAATAAATACCTTTACAAAAATTATTGAGCAAAAATAATAAAAAAATAAAATAATTAAATAATAATAACCACAGCCATTTGTTTTTCATTTTTTCTATTTAATTTTATCTCTTTTTCATTTTTCTTTGAAGATATTTTGAAAATAAATTCCATTTAAATAAATTTAAATTTAAAAACTTAATGATGAACATTTACATTAAAGATTAATCTTTTCTTAAATTAATTAAAAATTATGGAATAAAAATAGTAGAAAAATTATTTTGAAAAAATATTTAAGGTTTGAAACAAAAAAATATTTTAAGAATTTCACACTTTAAACTAGTTTGTTCTCAACCCTCATCTGCTTTAGACAAAAATTCTTGAATTTACTAATCCAAAAAGACTAGCAAAAAATAATTAACATATGTAAAATTAAACTAGCCTTAAAGGAAGTAATTTACAAATTATTTTTAGAATCAGGCCAAAAGATGGAATTTACTAAATTAGCACAAATATCGCTTTCAAGTATTTCTGAAAGGGAAAAAGTATGATGAATGAATTGCAAGCAAATCTTTCAGCGGAGGACAAAAAGGGAAGTTGCCCTCCCCCGAATATATACACAAACATTCATTCATTTTTTACTCAAGTATTTATGTCCTCTTTTTAAAAAAATTAAAAGTAATATATACTAGACAGTCATGAATTACCAGCCAGTTAATTCCATATTTCTGCGCAATAGGGACTAGTAATATTTTAAGTAAATTTTACTTTTAAAAGGACGAGTCAACAACTAATTTGATGAAAGGAAAATTTAGGTATTTTTGAAGAGGTTAAAAGGGAAACAGGACAACAGCTTTCAATTTCTAAGTCTACTTCAATTTAGTTCAAGTATAAAATTTAAAATTGGTGTTAAACACATAAAAATAACCATTAAACCCATTTTAGACAAGAAAAAAACAGTCAATTTTATGAGCAAAAAAATTCCAGAAACAAAAATTTGCAACAAAAACAAAAAATTTATTGTAGCAAAACATTTGACATATATAGCGGGGATTGTTTAAAAATAGCTGGTATTGTCTTCAAAAAACATAAAGATGAGAGGGGTCAACATTAAAGTCTTTGATATTTTAGATATAAAAAAATAACAAAAAATATTTTTAAAAACAATTTAAAGACTTAAATGATTAAATTACCTAAAATAATAGACGTGAACAAAAAATGATATTTTCCTCTTAACAAAATAATTTAGAAAACAAACAAACTTGGAAAATAACATCCTTCCTCTCTTTTAAATTTAATAGGACGCTCATATAAAATGCTTCTTTTCCAATTCTTCCTTCTTCTTTTACATAATAACGCAATTCTTGTCGGAATCAGATCCATATTGAACTCCATTAAAACTCTGATTTAAAACCGATTCACGCCAAGCATTAACTTCACGGTCAGGATTCAAAAGTTCCGTACGAATGCAGCGATCATGTGGCCAAATCTGGTTTTTCATGACATAACTGTTTGGCGGTTGGTGTTCAGCATTCGCATTACTAGACCAAATCTGAACAATTTAGAAATTTTTCAAAGTTCAGTTAAATAATCAAATCCAACCGTAGCATGTTTTCCTGGCAAAATCTTTGCGCGCGAAGGAAACTTGAATGTAGTCTCAATTTCTCCAGCTGTTGATCGAACTACCCAATTGCCAACAGAGATAGTTTCATCTCCCTTATTGTAAAGCCGAATGAATTTACCATCAGTGTCATGTTCCTCGATGATTAAGTCACCCACTCCATCGCCAGTAGTCTACAAAAAAGTGAATTAACTTTTGGGATATAAAATTTACTTTTTTCTCAATCCCTCCTCAATTTTTTCCCTTGTCCCCATTTCGATGGGGGGGGGGGGGGGGCTAACAATAAGTCAACGCATTTAATAAATTATGGATCATAAATAATTTCTAATTAATCAAATTAGAACATTATAAAAATAAAGAAAAACAAACCGTCCACTTTTGAGCCGATTGACCAATGCTAACAAAATCCTCTTGGTTTACACGACGACGCTTTGTTCCACGTTGTGATCCAACCATAAAAACGTCACCACCGCCGCTTCCATTGAATACAGAAGGTGTAGATCGAAGGCCAACACGTGTAGATGACATCGTAGCACTCAAATTAGAGGTCGCAGCCGAAGTATTCGGGCTGCCTGATGGAGTGATACGCAATCTATAAATATAACCATCAGGATAGCAAAAAACTATTTATAACCGAGTCTCTTCCTGCTCCAACATTTGCTGATAAGCATGCAATTCAGTGTCCAGTTTAACTTTCAAATCAAGCGCATCCTGATAGTCTGATGTAAGATTTGCGATTTCCAATTTTAACTGAGCAATTTGCTCGTCTCGTTGTTGAATCCGAATTTCGGCATCTTCATGCGCTCTGCGCAGGGTTCCTTCCAGTTCCTATATTTTTAAAATACTTTTTTACGTCTAAAAGAAAAACCTTAATACGACGAGTAAGCCCATCAACAATCCCTTGATGGTCTTTTGTTGTACGTTCATATTCCCGATTTTGAACAGCAAGAGAAGTCGCCTCTTCACGAGCACGAGCAGAAGCTTCCCGATATTTGGCGGCCTGATTATTGGCTTCTACCAACTTTGCATGAAACATGTCTTCAACCTGTATGATTCAAGTTATAAATTTATTCAAAAAATGAAAATTTTACATCCGCGCGTTGTGCAGCAATTCTGGAATCAAAGTCGGTTCGCATTGCATGTAACTGCTCCTGGAGTTTTGCTTCGTATTTGTGCTGAACCTCCTCACCATAATGAGTCATTTCAACTTGACGTTTACGACGCAACTCCTCGATTTGCTTAAAAATGTCAATTTCTATTTCTTTAACCAAAAAAATATTCTTACATTGTCATGACTCCGACGAGAAAATTCCAAGTCCTCTCGTGCGGTCTGCAAACGACTTTCCAATTCAGTTCGCAACAAGACTTCATCCTCAAGTTGGCGACGTAACAGTTCGACTTGTTTCTCAGCGCTGTAGAGATCAGTTTTTAGCTTCTAAAATTAAAAATAATGATGAAGACTATTTTGACTCACATCATTTTCCTCAGCAAGTTGTCCACGTGCTGAATCAACATTTGTTAAACGCGCATTCAAATTATGAATCTCATCATATGCAGAAAACTTGTCCTTTTCCGCCTTCTTCAAGTCTCGCTCCAGTTGGGGAACACGAGATTTGAGTTCTTCATAGCCACTGGTCGCCTTGTCATGCTCAATTTGTAACCTTAAAAAGAGTAATTAACTCAAGGGCCCCTACCATCCGTCAAGCTGCCCAGTATTAAAAATTAATTTAGGCGTGTTTACGTGTTAGCACAAGCGAGTTTTGTGGAGGAAAAATAAATTTGAAAATTAAACTTACTTAGCCTTGTCACGTGTCAGATATTCAAGCTGCTTGCGCAGCTCTTCAATTTTAACATCATAACGAGTAGCGAGGCTTTCCTTCTCCTTGCGCTCAACAATCTCTACTTCGTTGATCTGCACCTGCAGACGAGTGTTCTCAGTCTCCAACGTGCGGACACGCTAAAGAAAAAAGAATCTTTGAAAAATATTCGAGATTTAGAAGCAAACAAACCTCTATATAACCAGCTAAACGGTCATTAAGAGATTGCAACAAATCCTTTTCCATTTGACGAATAGAAACATGCGGGTTCGAAGAATTCGAAGACGTCGCATTAGTGGAACTAAAATCGAAAACATAAGAATGAAAAGTAAGCAGAATAAACCTGTGAGTATCAAATGTCTCATCTGCAGAAGCATCGACATGAATCGCTTGTTCTCGTTGAGCCTTTGAACGTTTTGCTTTCGAAGACATTGATATTTAAAGATCTTAAAAAAATAAAAAAAATAATTAAAAATTAGGGAGAGCTATTCAAATTTGTAAATAAAACAAAAAAATTTCTTCATTTTTGTGAATCACCATGGAAGGCTGTTTCCAGGTGAGCGGATGAAGAAAAAAGAAAAAATGGTATTGATTAAATAAAAAAGTTTGAGAGAAGTACGCTTTTTTAAGCACGGTTTTTAGTCACGCCTTTTTTTCCTTTTCCATCATTAGTCTTTTACTCTTTCTCATTCTCACCCATTAATCAATTCAGCCTAGGTTAATCTTTGTTTAGGTTGTAAAACCAGAATCGGTCCTGTGATATCTCTGACAAGGAATCATCTTTTACTGTCAGAGCAAATTTTATGTTTTTTGGTACCATTCGATAGAGGACCCCTGACTTGTAAAGTGATATCATTTTCTTTCAAATTGACTTTGGGCCGAGTTATGGCCGCACAAAGTTTCGGTTTTTTGGAGTTTTGAGTATATGAAGACGAAGGAACAAAAAGAGGGAAGAAAAATGTCAGACACGAAAAAAAAAGAAAACAGTAAAAGTGGGCAGGCGGGTTTTTTGAGGATGAAAAAGAAGAGAGAAGTTGCTCATTTACCTCTTAATCCCAGACTCTATCGTTAAACTTGAACGGCCATAACTCGGCCCAAAGTCATTTTGCAAGAAAACGGTATCACTTCGCAATAGGAAGTTGGGGGTCCCATCATGGCCGTAACCGGGGTATCTACAGCTTTCGCCTGCGGCTCCAAAAATTCGATTCCTAAAAAAAGGTTTCGATATACCTGGGTGGACTCTCTCTATCGAACGCTACTAAAAAATATGATATTCTGAGTAATTGAGTGAAATTGAGGAAGAAAGGCTGACCATTCTGTATACGGAAATGGGGGAATCTTTAAAATTTTTAATAACTTTAATATTGATGAAGGAAAAATAAAAAAGAGCTAAAAAAGCGTACTAAACCATACAAGTTCCCCAAAATTGTAAAAAAAAATCAATGGTAAGAAATGACTGCAAAAAAATGGAAAAGTCAAACGCGAATGCTTGAAAACAAGCCAAATAACAAAAAAACTCAAGTGGGTTATTTTAAACTTTGGCGTTTTGTATTATTTTATCTTGTGACGGGAACGTTTGAGTATCATATTAAATAGAATTTTAATTTAGAGGACTAATGTAAGGCTAATAGTAAATTTTAAATTTCAACAATTTTTCCAAGCAGTACAGCTATCTTAATGTTTATATTGTGAGTACAAAAAGCAGAATCTTACAGATGAGCCAAAAATAACTTTATCATTTTATGCTTCAAAAATTGGGATTAAATTTCATTTCCTCAAAATCTTTTAATTTTTTACTACTTTTAATGTTTCTTTTTTTAACCACAGCTAAATTGATAGTTTAATATTGAAATTTAAAATAGTGACAACGGGCAATCCCCTTTAGACAGAACCAGAAGGGTTTTTGACTCCTAATAAATTGCTTTAAAATCGATTACTTCACTTGGCTGTTAAAAAAAAGTTTTTTTTGTCTCTTTTATTTACGTAATTTGTTGATTGTTTGTATTTTTTGTTATTTTTTTTATTGATTATCAGCTAAAATTTAATTTGTGTTCGACAAAAAGTGTTTTTCGAGTGTCGGTATCGTTTGTTGAAAATTCTTATTTTGTCAGAAATACTGAGAAAAAATATTGAAAATTAACATTGTTTCTCTTTAAACTCGCTCAAAAATTAGGAAAAACTTTTAAAAATACCTCTATTAAAATCAAAGAATGTTGGTGTTAAAAATTAAAAAAAAAACTTAAAAAACCTCTCTTTAATTTTTTGATATTTTCGTATCAATCATTTGTTTGGGGGCATGGAAGGTTAAACATGTGAAAAGTGCGTAAAAAAATTAAAAAGATAAGAATTTTTCGTAGAAATTTAAGTATGTGAATGTGGCTTCCCCTAGAAATTAGTCAATAATAAATAAATAAAAATTTTTAGAGAAATAAATTCTTGTTTTGTTGTAATTCTATATATTTAAATATTTTTACTAAAAAATTATTTTGTTTTATTTTCTCTTACATTTTCAGAGAAAATTAAAAAAAAACAAACAAAGAAGGCTTAAAATATTCATGAATAGAAATGCTTATTTCCTTTCCAACAATTTTTCATCAAAATTTATTGGCATCCTTTTACTTAATGCTTATTTTACACGATTCGAGAATGTGTGTATTTGGCCAGTATTTGGTTGAAATTGTAGGTTTTGAATAAAAAATGGAAGAAACAAAAATTCTTTGAAAATTTTTAGTATAATTATTTTTTAGTTGGAACACACTGTACTTGGTGGTCATCGAGCGGTTGTCCGTTGTGATGCAACTGGGGCGAATTTTGGCTCTGACATTGCTACTTTCTCGTTTGGAATGAATTCTGTTGGTTGTGCTTTACCAACAGAACCTCCTTTAGCTTGTTCTGATGTTGAAGTAACCCATCTCTATTTTTAAAATTATTTTTATTAAAAGAAGCCTCGTTTGAATTCAACAAGTCAATGTGTTGTGGATTTTGCCGTTGTGTCACGAGGGAACTGCAGTTTTTCTGAAAAGGTTGTTTAATATTTAAAAGCTTTTTTATTATTCCCCTGTTATGAATGTAGAGGGGTCACAATATTGTTTTTATCGTTAACCTATAGCTTTTTGGGTAATATTGAGGAACCGGACAGACCCCCTTTTTTCCTCTCCAATTTTTCCCTATATTTTTGCAAAATTCCTTTCTTACATTCAAATTGCCTTTTTAATTTTTGCCTACAATCAGCCAAAAAGGATTATTTAATTTTATACAAATGCAAGTATTACATGCCGAAAATAAGTAAAGGGAAAAAAATAGGGGGAAATTGGGTTCAATATTACCGCTTTTTGTTAAAAACGGGCAAAACGGCTCAATATCCGTGCTAGAAAGAACACATTCTTTATCGAATGAGCCCGGTCTCGACCGTTTTTAGCTCGGACACCTCGCAACCTCTCCGTGTTAATATTTCTCATTTAAAAATCAAATTCTTTTTAATTAGGCTTATTATGTTCAACAAGCAAAACCTGTCGGCTACCAAGCATTGATTGTATACAACTTTAAGGGTAAAAGTCCCAATCCAATGTCGGGTAGCAAATTTGCTGAACTTATCCAAATTCCTGTTGTTATGGTTAAATATGAATGTATGCAAAGTTTACTTGGCCATTACAGCGCAGAACACGGGTATTTTTAGGTATTTATTTTAAATATTTATTTTAAGGTATACCGTTACAATCAAAGCTAGTCCTGGCTACTATGATTTGATCAAATATCTCTTTCCATTTGTTATTATTGTCGGAATTTGTTTTATTGTTTTGTTAATTTCTTTGGTAAATTTCTATCAAACTTTCAATTTTTTTAGAAAATAATTTGAGTTTATTAAATTTTTAGTTAATTCGTCTCTGCCGTGAAAGAAGACGTTTGGCAAGAAAGCGACTTCCTCGTTCTCAACTACGCAAAATTCCAACAAGAAAATATCGGAAAGGAGATCCAGAAGAGACTTGTGCCATTTGTTTGGAAGATTTTAAAGAGCCAGATAAATTGAGAATTCTCCCCTGCAAGCACGGTTTTTAATTTTTTAAGTAAAAAAATTTATTTTTTAATTTAATAGCCTATCATTGTAAATGCATTGATCCTTGGCTAACCAAAAACAGGAGAGTATGTCCTGTTTGTAAAAGAAGAGTTGGTCCTCGCAATGTGGACAGTTCGGACAGCGATACTGATAGCGAGGTTTGTAAAACTAAAAGTTTAGTTGTTAGGGGAAATTTTGTTAGGTGGATTAGATAATCATAAACGTAACCAAGAGTAGGGTGATAGTGGACTTTATGCTAATTTTATTTACAATCTTAGTTTCATTTTTTCTACAGTTACAATCTTAGTTCATTTTTTTTCTTCATTTTTAACTGATAGTATTTCTAGGATTTTTTTAAATTTATTTTTTTATAAAATAATACTTTTTGAAAAATCATTTTTAAGAGAATCACCCGAACTGTCTCTTCATCAGTTGCGGAAGGTGCTGCTGGAAGCAGTTCATCCTCAACACTTGTAACAACAAGTCGAGACAACCGTCCTCTTTTACAGCATGCACAACCTGTATATTTTAACTAAAAATATTTTTTAATTTCTGTTATTTTTTAGATTGCTACAATAACTTCAAGTAGCAATCGACGGCCAATAGCTGAACAAATTGTTGTTGCTTCTTTATTTCAACAACAAAGGCAGCCACAACAACAAACACCTCAATCAACAAGCGCCTTTTCGCGAGCATCAAATTTATTACATTTAAGCAGTATTTTTCATCGTAAATTTTTTTAATTTTAGAGGTATTTAAATTAAATTTCTAGCATCTCGGTGTGAAGCTGTTGGAGCACAAATTTCATCTCCCTCCACCACAGAAACTGTGAGGAAATATTTAGTATATTAAAAATATCAATTTAAGGCCAAAAATCCAATTACTACTGGTGGACCAGGTCCTTAGCCAGGGGGTTAGGGGGAATTTTTTTTATCAAATTCTAAATTCTTTTAGAAAGTAATTTGAATTCATTGAATTTAGTTTTCATTAAATTAAATTTTTTTCCTTTTTCTTTTTAAAAATAATTTTATTTCGTAATTTTTAGTCATCAACAGTTATTGCAGAAAGTGTACCTTCTCAAACAACAACTTTGTCTTTAGATAATCAACAACAACCAATTACCACACCAATAACAACACATTTTGGTGATCGTTTACGTCGAGGGATTGCTGGAATTGGAAGTTCTATTGTTGATTTGGTTTGATTTTTTATATAAAATTGAGCAAAAAAAATATTTTTTTAAAGGTTCATCGTCGTCCAACAAGCATTTTAAGTGAATCTAATACGCAATTGATCCCGGAAAATGAGGATGAAGAAGATTCTTTGAATGCTAGAAGGGAGTCTGATGTAAATTTTAATTATTTTTTTAGGAAATATA